CCCCCCCCCCCTCTCCCCCTTGTCTTTTTTTGCAGAAATAATCTTATTTACCCTGATTTCCTCTGCTCGGTCACGGCGAAAAATTTCCTCTGAACTTGAGTATTGATCAGTGTGTTTGGTTATATATCTCATTTTTCGTACCCATACAACTGAATATTTCCGCTACTCTAGCACTGAAGGTGCAGGCCCTTTTTTTTTAGACGATTGCTAGAAATGCAAAAATGGTATGAAAATATTATTTTGGGAGAGCGTTCCGCGTAGATACTTTGTTTCTGCTTCGACAGAATCACTTTGACGCTTTTTGCTGCATTACAATGAGACATGTTTGGCGTTTCGGTCAGTAATCTTTTTTCATCCTGTGACTTTGCTGGCCTCTTCATATTTTTCGTCATATTTCGACATTTCAGTGATACTTTTTTCCTTATTCGCTGATGAGATGAACTTATTTGCAGTGTGCACGGTGGTTTTTGGCGTTTGCAAGCTGCATCAGTATTACTCCAGAAAGAGAGACGAGGAGAAACGATTAAAATTTGATTTGATCGAGAAAATCACTGGTTTGTTTCTTCGCAAACATTCTCCAATAGGCTGAGTGGGAAATCGATTGAACGTTTGTTCTGTCGTAGATGTCCGTAACCGTTTCTCGCTTAGTATAAAGAAGTTTGAAGCAGAAATTTGATAGCAAGTTTAGTGTTTTGCTAGATGGCGCTTGCTTCCAGACTTAGTTAGCATGGGTTGAATTCCGTCACCCAAAAATTGGGACAACTAAGATCTGTTGGTCTATTTTGGATCATTAATTGGTACCCAGGGGAGTCATACCGTCTTCGGATTGCTTCTGAAGTGTCATCATCGGACTGCTGACGTTGACAAAGTGGCATCACTTGCCTTTTAGGGAATCTCGAGAAAAATCTAAGAATTCTGATTCTCGGCAGCTGCTTTTGTTCTTGATTTTCTTTAAGTGTAGTATTTTCATTCATTTAATTGCTTCGGGTCCAAAATCTGATGCACACACTGCACCAGGCAGTGTGTGCATCAGATTTTGGA